TAGGACACAACTTAGTTAATTATCTTTTTTTATACAACCATTCCTTGAAACTACAATCAGAATAAGGTCTAAAGGTGTCAAATATGTTTTACATTGTTATCAAATTCAAATCGCTACTCTAACTTTGTAAAAACACACAAACGCTTAACGCATCAAATATCGATGAACAACCGACTTTTTATTACACATAGAACGAGTTAAGATAAACCAGACTTGTAGGGTATGAAAACATGCACAATGATGTGGAGAGTTTAGAAAAACATTGAAAATTCAAAGTTCATAAACAAGATTTGAAGCTATGAGCAAAACAAAAAATTTTACTTGGGATTTGCTTTTTGCGCGCTCAATAACTCAAGTACCAGTGATGCTACAGATAAACCGTGAACATATATGGAGTCAGGCATATGAGGAGCAACTATCCTGCAATTTTCGGAAAATTGATAACTTTTTTTTTTTTTGGTCAAAAGTGTAGTGAGGTGTAGTTATTTTCATAGTGTGGTGTGGTAAATGTCAAATTGACTTATTTGAGTAGTGTAGTGTAATGAATTTCATTTTTGAGTGTTGTGTAGTGTTTTTATTTTAATGATGTTGTGTGGTGAATTTCAAGTTTGTAGTGTATTTGATGTGTTTGATTAGTGTAGTGTAGTGAATTTCATTTTTGAGTGTTGTGTAGTGTTTTTATTTTAATGATGTTGTGTAGTGAATTTCAAGTGTGTAGCGTGTTTGATTTGTTTTATTAGTGTAGTGTAATGAATTTCATTTTTGAGTGTTGTGTAGTGTTTTCATTTTAATAGTGTAGTGTAGTGAATTTCAAGTTTGTAGCGTGTTTGATTTGTTTTATTAGTGTAGTGTAATGAATTTCATTTTTGAGTGTTGTGTAGTGTTTTTATTTTAATGATGTTGTGTAGTGAATTTCAAGTTTGTAGCGTGTTTGATTTGTTTTATTAGTGTAGTGTTGTGTTTTCATTTTGTTAATGAAGTGTAGTGTGGTGTTGTGTAGTGTATTGATTT